TATGGTTACCTTTTATCATTTGCAGGTTTTTCGCCGCCCTTCAAAGGGCGAATCCCGGTATAGTCGTTGAGTGGGAATGGCAGGGTGGGGAAATGGCGAAGCAATCTCGAGACAGAGAATTCAGATTTGTCTTCTGGGCGTTCGGCCCCGCCATTCAAACCTTTCTTCTTTGCCCCCCGATTATTAGCATCGACGGCACGTACCTGCGAGGTTCGTACAAGGGGAAGCTACTTTTTAATTACAAATTAATTTTTTATTTTCTAATTTACAATAGTGTCTGCTAAAAAAAACATATGTCCAACTGAGCAGGTTCGTACAAGGGGAAGCTACTTGTTGCCATAGCACAGACCGCGAATAAGCGTCTATTGCCACTCGCGTATGCGATTGTGGACGAAGAAAGCACGGCTAGCTGGTCCTTTTTCCTAACACATCTGTGCCATCATGTCGTCCCCGACAGACCGATATGTCTTCTTTCTGACAGGGACAACGGCATATTGAGTGTCGTTGATTTACTGGAGGCTTGGCACGAACCCCATGCATTTCATTGAATATGCCTTCGACACCTCCGGAGCAACGTGTTTTCAAGGTACCGGACTAAGAAAATTCGGGGTTTGTGCTGGAGGTTGGGTTCACTGTGTTCTCGCCGCAAATTTGAGCAGAGTCGACAGGAACTCCATGAATGTAACCCGGAAGCATACAATTATCTTTTCCAAATTCCTTTTGGAAAAGTGGACCCTGTACGGAGATAGAAGACGTCGATGGGGCACTCTGACAACTAATATGTCAGAGAGTTACAACAACGTCCTCAAAGGTATTAGGTTCCTGCCCTGCAGAGCGTTGGTACACGCCACAATGAACAAGACTCTGGATTTGTTTCAACATGAACAGAAGAAGTCCAGAGGATGCAGGAGTCACATTCCTACCGACCTCTATGCCGCCTATCTGGTGTTGGATAGGACAGCGGCGACTCACGAGGTGCAATGTGTGGACGCCGACGGGTCCCAGTACAGGGTGACAACCGGTCTACGCGCCAATGGAAGAGGGCAAAACAAGTATGTATTTCTGAATTGGAATTTTTTTTTCCATTCAAATGATTTTTTTTTTTATTTATATATATAAATCATTGTGGAAAATAGGTTTACGGTTTATTATCAGCAGCATCGTTGTACATGTAAGAAGTGGCAGACATTTCGGAAACCATGCTCTCATGCATTGGCCGTGTGTCGTCACCGGGGTGATCAACCGCACTTGTTGTACGATTCTCACTTTTGGACGGAGAACTGGGTTGCTCAATTTTCTAATTGGAATTTTGCTCCAATTGGAAATCCTGACACGTGGCCGCAGGTGGGATGGAATTTGATTCCGCATTGGGAAAGGATCATTTCGAAGCCTGGACCCGGCCGCGCCCAAACGAGACGATTTAAAATGCAAATGGATCGTCGAGCGCGCCGCAGAAGAGTCCGGGATCAATGCAGTAGATGTGGTGATCCCGAACATTTCGCGGACCGTTGCCCGTATTCGCATCCTCCCACCGATCGAACTAGACTCCGTGATGATTGGGGGAACTAGATTTTTTTATATGTATTTTGACTGAATCGTATTGTTGAGATAAATATTTTGTATTTGGATGATTTTAAAATTGAACTCGAATTAGTACAATTGAAGTCAAATTAGTATAATCTCGGTCAATTATAGTGAAATCGAACTCGAATTAGTAAAATCAAAGTCAAATTAGTACAATTGAAGTCAAATTAGTACAATCTCGGTCAATTATAGTGAAATCGAACTCGAATTAGTAAAATCGAACTCGAATTAGTATAATTGAACTCGAATTAGTACAATCTCATTCAATTATAGTGAAATCGAACTCGAATTAGTAAAATCGAACTCGAATTAGTACAATCTCAGTCAATTATATTGAAATCGAACTCGAATTAGTAAAATCAAAGTCAAATTAGTACAATTGAAGTCAAATTAGTACAATCTCGGTCAATTATAGTGAAATCGAACTCGAATTAGTACAATTGAACTCGAATTAGTACAATCTCGGTCAATTAAATTGAAATCGAACTCGAATTAGTAAAATCAAAGTCAAATTAGTACAATTAAAGTCAAATTAGTACAATCTCGATCAATTATAGTGAAATTGAACTCGAATTAGTACAATTGAAGTCAAATTAGTACAATTGAAGTCAATTACAGTGAAATCGAACTCGAATTAGTACAATTGAAGTCAATTATAGTGAAATCGAACTCGAATTAGTACAATATCGATCAATTATAGTGTAATCAAGCTCGAATTTGTCCAAAATAAATAATTTTTTTTTAAACACGGATTTTCAGAATCCGTGTTTACTAGTCAACGAGAAACACGGATTTTGAGAATCCGTGCTTATTAGTCAACGAGAAACATGAATTTGTTATTTTTTTAATTCTATTTTTTATTAAATTCATTAATAATTCTATAAATGTTTTTTTTTTTTTATAGTTCGATTGGGTACCCTATCAGATGTACATAGACGAGGGTCGGCTCCCGGACCAGTGTACACGAGACAGACATCTCTAGATGTACAAGGGATGGATCTTCTGCTGGAACATCGCAGAACCCCACCAGCCTGATAGGGTGCTCCGCCAGTTTCGGTGCCACCAGCCCATCCCCCAGACGCCGATCATTACTAGTCTGGCCGACTGGGACACCCGCCACAGAGGCCAGGGCATGACTGGGAGGGCATATACCGATTGGCGGGCCTTCCATGCTGATCTTGGGAGGATCTGGACCGAAGAGAGAGATCAGAACGTCCTCCCAGATGTTCCGGTGAATCCCTTCCTGCAGCCGGCAGAGGGGTACATTGATTGGTATCACAGTAGGACTGTGAGACTATTTAATGACCCTAACCACTACGCGGCGATCTCACAGGACGGTGGGTTTCAGCCATATGCCGACCGGGAGAAGTGTCAGGTAAGTGTCTGCTAATTTGTGATTTTTACTGTTATTATTATTATTATTATTATTATTATTATTATTATTATTATTATTATTATTATTATTATTATTATTAATATTTGATAGTTATTTCAATTTTATTTTCAGAATTCGGGTACGGAGGGGGCGTATAACATGCTATCGAACATTGAAGACATTGATACGCTACCTCCCCGAGCGCAGACACAGTTCCAGCAAGCCCATGAACTTCTGTACGCTTCTCTGACTGTTGGGGGTCAGTCGGTCACACAAGGGGCATCGTCGGAGCAAATTTTATCTCAAGAGGAGTACGCCCCACCCCAGCAGACACAGTCCCAGCGGGCGAGGCATAGACCGACGTCCCATATTGGTGGAGGGAGAAGACGCCGTGACCGCGAACCCGCAGCTGCATTCCCCGATAATGAAGAAGACGAAGAAGGTGAGATTTATTTATTTAATTACAAATATGTATTTTTTTTGTTTGTTTTTATTTATCCGGTCGAATTACTGATTTTTTTCAAAAATTAATTAAATAGGTGAAGAAGAAGAACCAGCCACGCCTGGACCGACCGCAGGATCGTCTTCTTCGAATACGTAGGCCTAAGCATTCATATACTCCTAGTTAGTTAGTTTGTTTTGTATTCTGTGATTTTGTGGACATTTTCTTTTTTCTTTTATTTTTTGTACTGGATTTTCAGATATTTATTCTTGATTGTTTTGTATACATATTTTGTGGTTCACTTTTTTTTTATCGGTAAGCGTGGTTGACTTTTTTTATATAGTGTTTTGTGTATGTATGTATGAATGGTAGATTTATAATTTGACGAATGAATTGATATTAAAGTGATATTATTTCATGTTCAAAATGTTAAATTAAAATTTATAAAGAACCTTTATATTGAAGGATAACAATAAAAACTCAGCTAAAATAAACGCGATTGCTGGTAAACAAGTTCGTGAGCATCAAAGTGTCGAGCTTAACAAAAAAATAAATAAATAAATAAATAAATACAAAAAACACGGATTCTTAAAATCCGTGTTTATAAAAAAAAATATATATATAAACACGTATTCTCAGAATCCGTGTTATCAATGAACACGGATTATGAGAATCCATGTTACCTAACACAGATTTTCAAAACACGTTTTTAAATTGATTAATTAAGAGTAATCACGTCATTAAAAAAACACGGATTATGAGAATCCGTGTTTTAGTCAAAATTAGTCAAACGCGGATTTTGAAAATCCGTGTTTCAGTCGAAATTTATCAAACGCGGATTTTCAGAATCCGCGCGTTTTAAATTTGTCCACACTTTTTTTTTTTTTGCTTTATTTTTTTCCACATAATTTTTATTTATTTTATTAAATAAATGATTCGTACCAAACAATTTATTAATTTTAACATATTTGTATCCATTTGACAAAAAATAAACCAAACAACTTTAAGTAATGTACAGTCTCACCTACACAACAGGACTCAAACACAAAATATTATATCAAGCCCAATCAAAAAGTTTAACGAAATTGACCGTAAAAGGGACATATTTATTAGCCATCATAAATGTTTTTATAGAAACAATTAAAGGTAAAGAAATAGGATAGCTGCTAAAATATTATTGCTACAAAATTTTGATATAATTTTATATCAAGTAGCTTTGACGTAATTTTATATCAAGAAATAGGTTCTTTCTTTATCCTTGCTATGTTACCAATTTATTTTATAAAAAAAATATTTTACCAATCTATTAATAATAAAGTAAAATAAATCTCATAGTAACTGATAGAACTTTAAGAAAATGCATGTCCTAACACACACCAGCTTATCAAAATTTAAATGTGAGGTCCAATTTATCCCCATTTTTAGCGTGAGATTGCATTCTTTTTCCCGATACATATAAGAAAGAAATCTGACGTCTTAACTCATCTGATAAATGACTATTAACCTAACCTAACAAACCCCCAAACTAATCATTAATCAAAACATCTATTTCCAAGCACCACTTTCTATAATCTATCGTTTA